AAAACTGATAATGATATCATCGTGTATTTCTGAAATAATTCTCAACTCTGTTTGATTCCTTTCAAGTTTTTTCTTTTCTCTCAGGAATAGAACCAGATCTCGCTCGTTCATCTTTGACCGTSTTCAAATGACCTGGGTACGAACCAGCCCTTCCTTTAAAATATCTTCCTTYAAGGTTCTAACATTCGTTCTTTGGTTCACACGTTGGTTTCACGAGAGAAATCATCCAGGGAAGCTGAATTTCCAAACACGATCGACAACTCAGACCCAATRTGTTCCTCAGAAGCAAGAGGAACCATAGTTTTACTATGATCTAAACCGGAATGCAAACGATGCCACATCCGAGACCCATCCTCGTCAGAACCGTTATCAACCGGATGTTCATTCAGGGGACCATTGATTTTAATAACGTACGAAGGGACGGAACGACGCTTGTTCGTCGAGAAGGAACCTTCCACGGGCGGAGACGGCTTAATGGATTCCAGGACATCTGGTGATGAATCGGACCTCAGTCCTGACTTGACATAAGGTGTTGGTATAGATGTACTCGGGCCGTTAGGTAGAGGCGAAGGCGTAGGCAGATTAAGGCAGGGAGTCTCATCTGGTTCAGTATCAGTAGAGGCGTACGCATGTGTAAAATTATTATTACTGCTGACCTCATTTAACCGCGGTCTCCCTTCACTTGTTTCATCRACCTCGTAGTGTTTAGTGGCCAGCGGATGGTGCGGAGTATAAGAAGCAATACCATCCATCTGTCGCTTAGCAACCGTCGACGTCGACGAACACGGATACATAGGAATGTCATCAAGAATGTTGCCATCTTYGTTCCAATCTTSGTTTTGGTTTTCTTGATGTGGAGAATTCAGCCGCTSCATTGCCAARGCAACCTCTTTTGGCCATTCCGACATGGCATCAAGAAACTCCTCATCTGATTCGTCAATTCCATACTTCGAAGGGCTTGAATCTGACGACAGGACATCTAAATCAGCTTCCCCTAACGTCTTCTCATCAAGGGTCGTCTCTTTGAGTTCCTTGTTGAACATATTCACGTCGATATTCGTCAGATTTGAATCATCGTTATCAAGATTCAGCTTCTCCGTTTTTGCTTCGTGCTTTAAATTAAACTCTTTTTTCTCTGGGGAAATATTATGATAGTCTGTCGATAAACCAAGTTTTCGTGGACTCCGCACTTGGTTATTACTAGGTGGTGCTTTGCTCTCTTCATCTACATCYTCGATGATGGGAAGTCCTTGTTTTTCCAGTTTGGGCTTGCGTTTAGGTGATAGGACAACTTTAACCGGTAGATTAGAATCCTGTTCGGGATCTGATACYTCCTGCATTCGCGGTTTTGATTCTTCTTTTAATTTTTCTATTGACAGCTGAACTGGTTCCTTGTCCAAGTCAACCGGAAGAGACAAGCTACCCTTAAGCACCTCCGTCTCCAAATCCTCGGKCTTCTTGTTCGAGGCAACAGTTTCCCCATCCTCAGAAAACGAGCTTGGYAGACCTAGTTTGTGCTTTCGTTCCCTCGRTCCCGCTGAATGATCTGAAACTGGAGTTTTTCTACCTCGATAGCCYGTYCCTCGCTTGCGTTCAAACGGAGAATCAACTGTATCTGAGGTAGTACCATTTTCAGTWGTCTCTATTGATGGGTGTTTATGCATGATCCATTTCTTGCGTCTCTGGTCTTGACTTGTTTTGCTTTCAAGCTCCAACCCCGAGTCTTCGTGTTTAATTTCTGTTGAGAATGTCACGGTCTTCTTGTTCGGTTTAGAACCGATGTCTTCTTCTCCGTTTTCTGTTTTGGTTTTTGSTTTCTCATTGGATCGTCCAGTGGGTGGAGTGTTTAGCGTGATGGTATTTGGTTGTGCAGCCTCTTCTGGTTTGGGTTTTGTATTCCCCTTGAGGATGTTCAGCTCATCCAGGAAGCCTTGGATAACCGCTTTCTTGCAGTTGCAAACATGATGTGGTCGAGCGAGCCTGTCTAGTGCTTGCTGTTTGAAAGCGCGTTCTGTTGGGGACGCTGGAGTGAGCCCAGACACCTAGAGGGACAGACGAACAAACGATTAATTACAGTATAACGCCATGTAAGATTGCAGTCATGAGAGCTTACTTATTTGCATCTTTTGACACTCTTCCAAAAACCATGGACAATAAAATGACGTCCCTTTATTATCCATGCAAAAGATTTCTGGGTTTCGATCACTGATAGGGAACGATACGCGCACAATATCAGTCCTTTCAGTAATTTGTCTTGCTATGGATTTGTGGAAGAAGTCCTTTGCGCGAGGGAAATCAGTTCTTGCTACCATGAAATTTTTGATTAAGTTTGGAGGTCCGTCGCCTGAGGACTCACCTTCGTCTGAATGAGAGGCATAATCATTATGTACAGCGGTGTACGGTATGAGACAACGAAGTGAATAAAATCCCAGAAGGCTGTGCCAACTGCAGAAAAAGACAAGAAACAATTGGTGAATAACCACGGCAGCAACAAGAGGGGAAAAGGAAAAGAAAAACTACAGGAAAAGACAACTGAATCTAGAAAGGAAAGAGACAAAACAAGTACGAGGCTGAAGATATTGTTTCTGTTCACATACCAACATTGTTATCGACGATTTTGTCAATTGCGTTGAAGATTTTGAACCATTCTGTTGACAACTCGTCCTCAAAGCAAATCACTAGTATCTTGAGACCTGAAAAATATACCAGTATTAGTAAATTTTACCTCAAGGTTGAGGCTGATAAAATTTAAAGGTTTTTTTCCTGAGATGATTATAAACCCATTGATATTTACTGACCTAAATAAGCAGCATCATACAAGCTGTTGGGTATGGTATCGATATGTGTTCCACCGGTAGAAGTAAGAGCATCTGAGATGGATAAGGCTCGAGGTGCTTCACATTCATCCTGGATGACTGACAGACGCGTAGGAGGCGCACCAGGGACATCAGAGTTTTTGGTTGTGACTACGCGAAGGAAACACTTRAGAGCAAACACCACGTCTTCTGGAGACGCGTGTGGGGCATCTGATACGAAACAGCATAAAGTAAATAAAGTAAGTAAGTTATACGAGAATCCTGGGACAGTGCTGCTAATCATCCCATGTACATTTGATATAAATTTTTCGATCCTGGATGATGGTGATAATGATGAGGATGATAATGTTGACGGTGATGATGTTGATTATGATGATAATGGTGATGATGATTATAAAGATGGTGATCATTATGGTGATGATCATGATGATGATGATAATAATGGTGATGATGATGGTGATGATGATGATTGTAAAGATGGTGATCATGATGATGATGATAATAATGGTGATGATGATGACGGTGATGATGGGGATGATGAAGATGATAATGGTGATGATGATGATAATTGTAAAGATGGTGATCATAATGATGATGATGATGACGATGACGATGATAATGATGATAAATAAATACACTACAAAAAAAAAAAGAATGTACAACAAACCTGGTCTTCGCGAGCCGAGTCTGATTAGAATGGGCAAGAGAATCCTCACAAAAACCTTCTCTGTTCTAACTGGATAACCAAAATCTGAGCTGCCTCCACAGAGCTCTTGTAAGGTGTACTCGTTCTTGAGTAAGAACATAAGTCGCGCAGCCAGCCTCATGATGGTATCGCAGAAGAACGCCGGTGGTGCACATATAGGAGCCATAGGAAGGAATGCTGTTAGGGAGATGGTAACAGAAGGACGCTCCTCCAAAACAAAGCTGATGCATGTTGTCACAAGAGACTATATGGAAGAACAATCAGTCAGTCAGTGAGGTTAGGGAAAGGCCAGGCTTGGCATTAGAGCGCAATATTTTTACACGAGAAAAGATAATAAAGGCATCTCAGCTAGAGTTGGCTTTGTRATAAGCGACCACCTTAGGGTACTGAGGAGTAACTGGTCGCTYACGGTAGATGGTCGCTTACGGTAGATATTCGCTTACGAAAGTGGTCGTTCAAAATGTGTCTGCTGTATTTTTAGCAGACGATGGTAAAAGCGCAAAACGAATGTTCTGAAGATTGGCTGGAAAATGACGTAATTCGAATCAAAAAAGATTGGAAAAACTAGAAGTCTATAACATGTTATGGACTTCTGGCAAAACCGAGAAATTCTTACGAACCATAAAACAAAAACGTAGTAATATAAGGAACCTAAAAAAAATGGATTCTTCAACTTTTCCCTTTGGAAATGCGTCATTATCATCCAGCGGCTTTCAGAGCATGCGCAGTGACTCTAACCCTCCCAAAATAGTTTATACCTTCAAGTACTGAGACTTGGCGATGTAGGTCTGATGACACAGCACCATGTAAATCCCTGCAAATAAATGAATATTTATAAGCAATAATATTATCACACAAAAATATGTTCAGTGCGACACACACCTCTGACGTACGAGTCAAGCGCCTTCCATTCAATGTTCCTCTAAAATAGAAAAAAATAAACAGTCATTAAGATTTTAATTCTACTGCAGCAGATTTTGTACGACGCAGCACAAAGCACGGTCACGGTACGAGTTGAACTAATCACTGCGCAAAGAGTTGATGTTGCCGGATCCAATCACTACGTTCGGAGTATAATACCGTGACAGTCACAGCACCACGCCACGTCACGCCAAGCCTTGARTGTGGTTTATTTCAGACATACGACTGAACCTGCTTTACCATGAATAAATGATACGTCTTGAATGAGAAGTGGTGTTATTAACGACGGAATAGTCCAACCTCCCCCTTGGAATCGCTGCTTAGTAAATGGCCTATTCGGAGAAGAGTGAACAATGTTTTGTAAGCTATTGATGATATTAGTAAAAGATTGAAGGCGAAATGTTTTCAGTTCCTGAAGTCTCGGATCAAAAGAAAGTAGATTGATGATCGACAGAACAAGCGAAACATTTGGTTGAATTCTCGATACGATTTGCGTTGCACGAAAAAAAAGAGTGATTCGAATTCAAAAATGCTGTAGTTTCTTGAACAAATGAATTAGCGGTGAAATATGTCGAAATGATTCCACTAATGCTATCGTAAAGAAAGATGTTGCAGATGAAAGGTTGAATGACTGGTCTCCATGGCAACGAAAAAGTTCCGTACTTGTCTACCTTAATAGATTTTTTTCGGCCGCGGGAATCTTTAACCTGATGAAAAAAATAGTTACTAAGTTATATGAATACTACAAGCTTAAGGACAACGATGGCGACCACGAATCCACAGGAAACCCATAGGTATAAGTCAAAATAACCACAGGGAACCCACGCGTAGTACTTACCACGAGATCTGGTTTTTGTATCAGTTTATCAAATATCTTGCTCAGTCGTTTGAGGACTAGATTGACTGCAGGCTCAACTGCTTCTGGCATCCAATCAATGACTGGTAGGGCTTGTAACATGTACCTACGGATAGAGGAGAGATTATATGTTACGTCATCGCCGCCATCTTGGTTGACGATAACAAAGCATTCCTAATTAGCTTCTCTTGTTAGATCAACCAAGATGGCGGCTGTTTCATTGTTATTCATATCTCAAGGGATTTTGAGTCACATGGTTGCACACGCTGTGTATCTAGAGGGGAGGGATGCTCCGTCGTCTTCGCACCAAACCCAAGCATCGACACTGGCCTCTTGATTTCCGACAAAAACCCGAAGAAGAAACAAAGACTTGTGCAACCGCTGAACGTACCTTTGTACTCCAGGACTACTCATAGTGACTGGATCGTAAACTGCAAGCTTCATCAGCGAGTACATGATCTCGGCAAGAAGCTGAAACAAGAGGTAAAACCATCATTAAAAGTTAGGGTAATGACATTTCAGAAATCTCTCAGAATACTGAATGTTATATCAAATAGAAAATAAGCGGATAAATCCAAAATGGCGGTAAAATGATTAGTGGGACTATAGCCCCCGCAAAGCCCCCCTAGCTCCAAGGTCCCTGACTATGGAATATTCCACGAGATACTTGAATTCTCTTCGTACGAAAAAAAAWAAGAGTTGCAAGTGGGATAGCCCATTTTGTGCCACTCATTTAACTATTTTATCCATAGAAAATTTGCGCGCATAACTGGAAGAAAGAGAGAAATACAGACGAATATACAACGGCGTTCCTGTGTTCTGATGTTCTGTATTTTCCATGTTGTGGGACAAATCGCTGTACTTACTATAATACTAATATCATCTAGTAAATCAGGTATGGTTAACCTCGCTGGCAGGTTTTTCTTGAGTATCTCCACTCGACGAGTACAGATGCTCACATAATCAGCTACCAGCACTAGTAGAGCATTCCTTGGCTTTCGGTACACCTCTAGGGCCTCCATCACCTCATTCTTCTCTTTTATGGCCCGTAGACGCTCAAGTAATGGAGGACCATGCCCTGGGGAAAACAAAAGCGATATCAACTCGGCATTTTGTTGGGTCATTCTGCAATATTCCTACAACCCACTGTTTTCTTATTTCAAACCACGTGTTATTCCCTAGAGTATTATTTCTTTATTTAACGGTTACACATCAGAAGAGACGAATGGATACAACACAAACAAAGAATCTTATTCTCAGGAGAGTGAAACGTGGTCTGAAATGGAAAAAACATTACACCCACGTGGAATACGCCCCAGTTTATATGCCTACCGCGTGAGAAATGTTCCTTCCTTTCCTGTGTTTAACAAACACGATACAAACAAGATACATTCTGGCCCTAACAGCACCTGGAACCGAGCTAGACCAGAATCAACCAAAGGTTACTTACTTCCTTCACCATCTTCCTCGTCATCATCATCGTACTGTGGACCATCATAGCTGCTTATACTACCCTTATTACTGATGTTCAGTGACGTGGTCGACTGCCAGCTACTGTGCTGCATGTGACTACGATCTGTCATAGATTTAAAGGTTTGGAAATGAACGAACGACCTGCAAAACAAAAAAACATCCACTTTATTGCAGCCCGGTAAAGTCCTACACT